GTTTGGGCAGGCCAGCCATCTGATTTTGTAAGTAAAGTTTTATTGGAACACAGCCTATTTACATATTATCTGTGGCTGCTTTCATACAACAAGGCAAGAGCTGGGTAGTTGTGATTGTTTACCCTACAAATCCTAAAATACTTATCATCTGGCCTTTTAAGAAAAAATTGCCAACCCCTGATCTAAGCCATCTATAGTCATTGACAGTCTGTATTTGAAGGACCTCTGAGGACTAAAACTCATTTTATCCATATTAAAACAGTGTATAGTAAACCAAGATGATTCAGGCAAAAATATTCCTCTGTATTTCTGAATTATAGTAATAATTTGTTTGTATTGTTTTACCTCACAGCAGAAAAACAATATTAGAAAGATTAACAACTAAATTAGGCAAGGTGTTTTTTACTATTATTTTTAAGGATATATGGGCTATAGGAAATAGAGATGTTTGTAATATAATTTAGGAAGAAACATTCCTTCTTGTTTAACGTGGCTATTTGAAAAGTTCAGATAGTATTTGTTATTTAGGAAATGGAAAGTATATTAAGTATCCATAAAGAGAAATTATTCATTTTGGTGACTATATTTAGAAATATAATTTTTACTTCCCCTTTAGTTTTTACTTGATATTTTGAAGGATGGTATATTTTACATTTTTTAGATTATTTTCCTAGGTCAGGAGAATATTCTATAGAAAGAATCAGGAGATCATAGCATAACATAGTTAAGAGTATGGGTTTTGAAGTCAGTCCTGGCTCTACCACTTACTCACTGAATATCCTTGAACATGTTGTATAACCATGTCCTTCAGTTTTCTTATTTGTAAAATGGATATAATACCAGTATTTTATGATTGTTGTGAGGCATGGATAAGATAATGTGTAAAGCACATAGTCTTTTATGGAATGTAGAGCAAATGTACAGTGAATAGTGACTGCCAACACCTGGAGGACAGAGAGCATGCTTTGCCATTTTATTGGTTTGAAAATACCATTATTACTATAAAGTTATATTCATTATGAGAGAAAAAGTTGAAAGAATTCAGAAAAGTATAAAGCAGAAAGTAATATTTTAAAGAATATCCTTCCAAATATCTCTCTGCATATACTCGTATATATACCTAGAAATATATGTATAAAATTGGACCAAAAAAGTGGAGCCTATCATTTAATATTCTTGCTTACTCTGGTTCTTAAGGTTTTGTGATGGTCAGACTGTTCTACTCATAGAGAGTAATGATCACCTTAAACTAATGTAGATATTCCTCGTAGTTATTTGTTTTTGTGTATTTGTTTGTTTCAGGTGGAGCTTTGATGAAACAGTGACTCATTTCATCTATCATGGGCGACAGAATGACACTAATCGAGAGTATAAATCTGTAAAAGAGAGAGGAGTGCACATTGTTTCAGAGCACTGGCTTTTAGAAGTAAGCAATATTTTTTTCCTCCCTTCTCTGTTAAATGAAAATGTATACAAACATTATTTCTAGGCATAAACCAATTTCAGTGTACGTAAACCAGTTGGATAACCCTAGTTCTAACAGTGCACATCTCATTTCTTTGGCATCAAAAACTTAAGATCTTTATTCTTTAAATATTTAACAACTCTTCAGTGGGTACTCTTTCTTAGTCTGAATCTGCTCACTAATTAAAAATGATATGAGAGAAAATTTTATAATTTGAGAATTAATTTAGCTGACCAGTATAGTTTAGAACTGTCCTTTTCCTTTTTTTTCCCTTCCCCTTCCGTTCCTGGTATTCCCTAGAGTGTGGTTGGTACCTTAGCAAAAGTATAGAAATAGAATTAGATTTTATATTTTAATGGACATGAGATTAAAAAGTGAGGACAGTTTAATTGTCCTTTGTGTAATAGAATTTTTCAGTGTCAACTACTTTTTAAAACTTTAATTTTGTGAATTTTTATCATCTTAGAATGTGTTATAATGGTTATCCTTATCCAACTTAACATCATGTATTCACTAAGGTTTTTTCAGTCCTGTTTTAACGCACAGCATTGTATTGCAGTGTGCCCAAGAGTACAAACATCTTCCTGAATCTCTTTATCCACATACTTACAATCCCAAAATGAGCTTGGATATCAGTGCAGTACAAGATGGCAGACTCTGTAATAGTCGACTGCTCTCAGCTGATGAGACAAAGGATAATAAGGTAGATAATATGGATGATACATTTACCCCCTCCTTGAGCTGAATGCATAATCATATATTGCTGTGAAACCTTATACGATGGCTTTACAAGTTTGAGAAATTGTAATTTTTCTCCTTCAATAGCCATATCATTTGCTTATAGAAGAAAATGATATAGATAATACGACCACCAGTAATAAAGAATTAACAACATCAAATGGAAATGGAATGAAGGACTCTAAAGGAGGTAAAGTATTTTAAATTACAAAAAAAGAAATTATAAATATATCTTCTTTCATGCAGGACAATTTCTTTGCATCAAATGGACAAATAAAGTTATTTTCTATGATGCTAAATACAGGTAAAGCATATATTGGAGGATTGAATTGAGGTCCCATGCCAGTCATTAAGTAATAATTTGCAAAGCTTTAAGTGATTTAGGTGTGAAATTTGTAGAACTAGGTATTTTATAGATTTAGTATAATTCAGCCCTATTTTATTAAAGGTAGGTGAAGTTAGTGATTCCAAAATTTTTTTCTCTGGTTCAGTTCTTTTCAGTGTTGTTCACAAAGTTGTATTATATGTATAATATACGTTAGCATATTCACATGGTTTTAGAGGTGTAAGAGGAGGCATGGAGAGTTTCTCCTCCCCTTTCAATGTTACTTATATATCCTTCTAGAGCTGTTTTATGCATACACAACCATAAATATATATGTTCCTTCTTTCCCACTTTTTCAACTATATTGAAGTGGTGGACTATATATGCTATTTTATTCTTTGATATTTTTAACAGTTCAACTTGTGGAATGTTTCATATTGGTTCATAAGGAGCGTCTTCAGCCCTTTTCTCATTTTTTTGGCAACTGTATAGTACTCATTTTATGAGTGGTCCACTTTATTTATCCAGTCCCTTATTGATGGGCATCTAGGTTATTTCTAATTTCTTGCTATTATAAAGAGTGCTGCAGTGAATAACTTTATCTCTATAGGTGTCCTCTTTTTTTTTTAAGATTTTTATTGGGGAATTGGGGGATGGGAACGGCACTGGGGAATTGGGGGAAGGGGAACAGACAAGTTGCTGTCCTTTTGTTCTTCAGTCTAGTTGTGGAGGATGTTGCTTCACTGGCCCAAGTTGGCACCATCATTGTGCTCTTCCCGGGCGAGGCAGATCAGTCGCCAGCTTCTGAACGGCCGCTCACAGCGGCTGCTGGCTGCTCACGCTGGCTGCTGGCTACACACAGTATCCCATGGCAACCCACTGCAGCAGGGGCTGCAGCCTACACTGTCGCCGGCAACTCAGCTCCAGGTTGAGCTGTTGTTCAGCATCTTAGCTGTAGAGGGCAGTGTCAGTGGCCCTCATATGTGGGATCCCAACCGGGGCCCTCTGGCGTCCCAAGCCAGCTCTTAACCAGCACGCTACTCGGCCGGCCCCAGGTGTCCTCTTTTTAATGGATTAATATTTTCTATTTTCCTTACTCATTCTACCCTATCAAATCTTTCCCTATGACATACCTATTTAGTTAGTCTCACTCTGTACATCCCAAAAATATTTAGTACTTATTTCAGTGTTTAGTCTATAAGCAGCCCAAAGATAAATATATTGTAGTCTGTGTTTTCAAGGGCCATAGAAGAAAGTCACATACATAAAAGCATCTCAGAGTATAGTACATAACACGACAGAGGTTCAGAAGCAGGCAGGGATCTCTACAAAAGAGAGTCACAGCAAGCCTTAGCAAAGTGTCTGCGAAGGGCTTCCTGGTTATTTCATATACAGTCCTCATGGTAAGGGCTGCCCTTATGTTCTGCAGCATGCATAGTCTTAGTACATTGTAACCTGTAAATATTCAGTAAATGTCAAGTTAATATGTCTTACACAAAATAATGTGAATAAGAGGTGATAAAGAGAATTATATCTTGATTGGTGTATTTATGTTTGTTTCAAGTTCTGACACAGACTTTGGAGATGAGAGAGAATTTCCAAAAGCAGCTGCAGGAGATAATGTCTGCAACATCAATAGTGAAACCCCAAGGACAGAGAACTTCCCTTTCAAGAAGTAGTTGTAACAGTGCTTCTTCGACCCCTGACAGCACTCGTTCTGCCCGAAGTGGGCGAAGTAGAGTCCTAGAGGCCCTGAGGTACACACCTGTTGCTCATCTTGGTGGCAGAAAGGAGTAACTATTAATAGATGACTTGAGAGAAAGGTAGCTCCTTATGTAGATACCTGATGACTCAGTTCCATGAGAATTAAGCCTAATTGTGCCTTTTTTTTTTTTTTTTTCAGTAAAGCAGAAGTTTAGAATATCGAAACCAGTAAAAGGTTTATACTACTGGGCCTAATTATTTAGCCCAAATTATATATATTCAGATATTTCCTTCCTGGCTTTTTTGTCTTCCCTCCCTTGTTCCAAGCAGTTTTAGAATTCTTAATTGGGGACAGCAAAGAGACATGGAGGTTTTTTCCCATACCAAGCAGTACTTCACAGTGAGAAGTGATTTAAACAGTTATTTCTTATTGGAACTACATGCATTTTGTATTCTCTCCAAACTTATCTTTTAGGAAAGGTGATTGCAGATCTTAGTGTGATGTGATTTAAGTTCGGTAGCATTACTTCATTTTTTCCTGATAGAAAAATCTCTAATATGATAAGCATCATGGACTTTCATCTTGAATTGATTAATTGAACTATGCATTTATCTTATGCTAACTGTATATTTCATGAGGCTAATCCTATCTGAGTACTGAGTAAAAGTGGCTTTCTGTTAATGTACCTCAGGTCATGTTTTATCATTATAGAGAGCCTAAATCTTGTGCCAAGTCTGAGTAAATACACTGAGAATAAAAGAGTATCTTCCTTGTTTTTAGGGCAAATGAACTCTTAGGGAGTGTCATCATTTGGGTAAATTATTTTTACCAAGATTACTTACATACACACACTGAAAGATTCAGTATATACATTGAAAGAAAATAGCTGGAATTCTATTTACTCTCCAATGGAATTGTTACAATTATACCATAAAACACGCTTTATAAATTTACAGTCTAATTTAAGGTATGTATGAGTGTGAATTTTGTTATGGTTGGCTGTTTATTAAAATTGTCCCTTTTATTCCTTAGGCAGTCTCGTCACACAGTACCTGATATCAACACAGAGCCCTCCCAAATTGAACAGATCATTTGGGATGACCCTACAGCCAGGGAGGAGAGAGCAAGGCTTGCCAGCAATTTGCAGTGGCCTACTTGTCCCACACAATACTCTGAACTTCAGGTTGACTATAAAAAATTGGAGGATTCTCCTTTCCAGGAGCCTTTACATGATGCAAAAATTGCTGAACAGGGTAATGAGAAAGAAATCTGTTTACTTGTTTGTATAAGTACATGTTGACCTTTTAAAAATAACAGATAAGCATAATGTAGTTCTCTGAATTGTACATGCAAACAAAAACCTTACTATTGGGTTGTTGGGAAAGTCGACGCATTTTTGCTTTGAAAAACAAAAATACATCATGACTTTCCCGACGACCCAATAGATATTTCTGATTTTGGTTTAAACTTAAGAGTCAGAAAAATAATTATAAGTTGAGGTAATGTATCAGTAAACTATATTTTGATTTTTAAATTTGGAAATTTAGGATTAGGTCTTTTTTTCCACACATGATTTTCATTATTAGTCTTTCTTTCATTCTGGTCCTTTTTGCACTTGTTTTTTATCCTATTTTCATTTAAATCTATAAACCCTACCCAGCACATACCTACACACTTGTTCTTTGGATTTCTACACGTTCCTTTCTGAATTCCCCTATTTTTTTCTTCCTTGGGCTTTACCCTGAAAACAAAATGTTTAATATCTCTCATTTTTGGTCACCTATTTGCCCCACTTCACATCACATGATTATTTTTCTGCATTGGGTGTATAGATTTATCTCTGCCTGTCATTTTCTCCAAGTATAATACTGCTTTTCGTTTTACAAATATCGATACATTTTACTGATGAGACCTTGGTATTTCAAGAAAGGGTGAGAGAAGCCCACAGATAGCACCAATTGCCCTTTAATGTATTTTTATGTATAAAATGCTGTTAGTTGCATTTATGTATAAGCTCTAGAAATAGGCTACTTCTTTTGCATGTAGTTTTTACATTCTAGAATTTGTATTTAATTTCATGTTGGCTAAGACAAATGAGAATATTTCCCAGAATTTGTTGTTAGTTGTGTTTGGATAATATCACACTGCAGCATTTTATTGCCCTCAGCTGTCTGTGATCCTGGGAACACATGTGTGACTGAAGCCCCAAAACACCTGGTCTCTGAAGAACTGGAAACTCCATTAAAAGACAGCCACCTGATCCCCACGCCGCAAGCCCCCAGTATTGCCTTCCCCTTAGCCAAACCACCTGTGGCTCCACAGCCTAGAGAAGAGGTTTGTTTATCCTTACTGTGGTGATACGGTTTTGGGGTATTCCTGTTAATCTGCATCCAAAATTTGTTGATATCAATAGTGGAGGTTCATCAAATGTGGAAAACTGCATTTCTTTGCATTGTATTATTTCCATATTTGATAACTCAGAAGACTAAGTAAAGTGTTACTCTAAAAGAACTATGTACCTGATAACTTTCTTAATGTTAATTTTTTCTAAAATAAAATTCTTCCATTCCAGATTATAACAATAGAGGAGACTCATGAAGACTTAAAAAAACAATATGTATTTCAGTTGTCATCTTTGAATCCTCAAGAACGTATTGATTATTGTCATCTGATTGAAAAACTAGGTACAAGTATTTTACTTCACTCAAAAATGTCCCATATAGTAACCTTATTTGGAAGTCAAATGTAGTTGATATCATTTGTAAGGTATAGAAATTGAAACAAAAATGATGGGTAACTTGTCTAAGACTATACATAGAGTCAGCACGAGAACTTTTAAAGTTCTAATCTAAATCTAAAGTCACTGGGTCATAGATAGGATTTAAAGGTTTAAATAGAAATGAACCATTAAGGTTAGAGTCTTTTGTACTTGCTTTGAACATTTGTTCATTGATGAAACCTTGGACCAAATCAGAGAAATTGTAGACTTACAATATAAGTAAAACCACATTTTAATGAAGTTGAAGGTATGGTAATATCCAGAGAGGAGCTCCTCCTCAGGTAACATTATTCTAATTCCACTCGTGGTCGAGCTCTCAATCGGACCTCATTCTAGAAGCAGCATACTAGAAAGGTAACCTGGTGCTCTGTAGCACCACTGTCCATTAGAAATAGAACATGAGCCACACGTGTCATTTTAAACATTCGAGTAGCCACATTTTAAAAAGTAAAAAAACAAACAGGTGATATTAACTTTAAACATGTTTTATTCAGCCTAGTATATGCAAAATATTATATTCAACATGTAATCAATATAAAACATCAGGGAGACATTTTTGCCTTGTTTTCGTACTACGTATTTGAAATTGGGGATGTATTTTACACTGATTGTACATCTCCAGTTAGGACTAGCTGCACTTCAGGTGTTTGATAGCTGCATGTGGCTGGTGGTTACTGTATTGGACAAAGTAGCTTTATAGGGTTAGGAAAATTATAGCAAGAGAACTTAATCTGACAGCTTGACATAGAGAAAACATTAAGAAATAATAGCTGTTTGTAATAGTGGCCCTGGGTCATCAGGAGAAGATTAAATATTATTTAATGCTGTCCTTTTAAGGATGTGGAGAACCATGAATATGGTTTTTTAGAAGATTCCTGTCAAATACAGTTGTACACTTGAGAAGCTGTGTTTCTTGGAAACTATTCAGGTAGTTTCCCAGTGGCCTAATAGATGGAATTGTAAGTCAGAATTGCTACGCTTTACCCAGAGCTCACCAAATGAAACACTCAAGTGTCTGTCTCCTTAGATGATTCAGTCTCTGCAAACTCTGGGCAAGAGTAGTAGCAATTAGCAGAGAATTGTCTGGAATAGGACAGAGAATAGGGGCACCTGAGTATAGATTATACTGGAATTGGGAGTGTGTAATTAGAGGGTTTCTGTAATTAGAATGCAAAGAGGCCCTTCACTTTATAAATGAAGCAACTGTCGTGAACTGATATCAGTTCACCTATTATGTTGTCTGTGTCACAGAATAAATTTTTTATATAGAATTAGATGTTGATATCATATTAATATGGAATTTTTACCTTATTGTTCTTTTGTCACCTCTGTGATCCTGGGTGACTTTACCCTGTGTCCTCATGTGTAAGTTGCAGATAATAGTAACTTCTTAAAAGTTGTGAGGATTAAATTGGTTAATCTCGAGTACTTTTCAACAGTTCCTGGCATTATAGTAAGTGCTCAGAAAGTACTGCTGCTATTATTATTATTGGCATCATCTCTAAAGCAAGAGTTCAAATGTTCTGTTAAACTCTTAGACAGTCTTTGATACCACTCTGCCCAACCAGTAGTCAAGTTCCGCTCTAAAGTATAAATCAAAGCCACGCTTTTCATAAGCTTAGATTTATGTACACCTTTTTTCCCTCCAAGTCAGGCTTCATACATTTAAATCTGAGAAGAGGTTTCAGCTCCCACCCGCTGCTTTGTCTCTATGTACCTAGCATGTGTGTTTTCCTCCCAAACTTCTTTGTTGGTCGGCTGACCTTATTTCCACCCAGAAAAAATTTTCTTCTACTTTTAGTCTGTAGATGCCTCTTTTTTCCTTCCATATCTCTTATTACCCATACTTAGCACGTGACAACTGCTGAGGTAGTTGAGAGACCTAAGAAAATGACAGCCAAGTGCAATATGTGGCCCTTGTGTTTATGGTTTGTTTTTATATCCTATTGTAACAAACCAAGTACAGACAAACTAGCATTTGAACAAGGATTTAGTATAGATATAGCAAAGAATTTGGGGTAATTTTTTTAGATCTGATAATGGCATTGTGGCTGAATAAGAGTATTTCCATGTATCTCAGAGATGCATACTGAATACCTAGGGGTTAAGTAACATGATGTCTGGAATTTGGTTTAAACTAGTTAAGTAAAAAGGCGGGGAGAGATCAAAGTAAGGATGGCAAAATGTTGATAATTTTAGAGCTAGTTGTCCACTTTAGGGGGGTTTATTTTATTGTACCTACTTTTGTATTTTTAAATTTTCATAATAAATACTATTTAATAAAAAAATATATATAAAGTAAAATAGTTGTCAGTCAAGGTTTTTTTGGTTTATCTGGTGCATTTTATAAATAATTTCTGTGCAAAGTTAGTTAATGTTTTTCCTAGGGAAAAGTTAAGAATCGATAAAGTACTAATTTTTCTCTACTTCAGGTGGGGTAGTGATAGAGAAGCAGTGCTTTGATCCCAGCTGCACACACATTGTTGTGGGACATCCCCTTCGAAATGAGAAGTATTTAGCCTCGGTGGCAGCCGGGAAGTGGGTGCTTCATCGCTCCTATCTCGAAGCCTGCAGGACTGCTGGGTGCTTCGTGCCGGTGTGTATTCAAATTAATACAGAGGGTCATTTTTCTTTAAAAGTTAATGTCCTAATGATTGATTCCAGCACATACACTGACCATGCGTGTAATTGAAATAACCAAATATGACCAATTAGTTTATACCTGTTATATAAGGTCCACATTAACAAAGCAAAAAAATTTAGAGCTTATAGACCCAGATTCTTAGTTATATCAGTTTTATTTAATTTGAATGTGGGTTTTTTTAATTGAAATAACATTATAAAATAATAATTTGGTTCTTAACTGATCATCACAGTTGTATCTTATCATGTAGATTTTGAAGTTTTCAATCAAGATCCCTTGGGAATCTCTTCCATAGACAGTACCAAGCTGTTAATGCATAGCTCCTCTGAGACCATGTCCTTCTGTGAAGTTCTTCTTACCGTGGGTAAAGCCCAATAATTTAAATATTACCATTTGCTGTGGTTTAGTTATCTATCTGTATTTTCTTAGAAATGTAAGCAATATTTTTTTTAAGTTTTAATTAAAAGCCAGATATGCTTGGCTCTTATTTGAAGCCAAATTAATCTACATTTCCTCCATACTCAAACTGATGCTTGCTTAGTACTCCCTGTACTTATAACAAGTGAATGTATAGTGTTTAACTCTTTGATTTGTTCGACTGATTCTCTAGGAAGAAGACTATGAATGGGGAAGCAGTTCCATACTTGATGTTTTGACTGGAATCAGTGTACAGCAACGAAGACTAGCACTTGCAGCAATGAGATGGAGAAAAAAAATCCAGCAAAGACAAGAATCGGGCATTGTTGAGGTATTAACATGTAATTATGTAGGTAGTATAAATGGCATTCAATGTCATGACTATTGCAGATTAAGGTTTTTTCGTTTTGTGGGGAGGGGAACAGCACTGGGGAATTGGGGAAGGGGAACAGACAAGTTGCTGTCCTTTTGTTCTTCAATCTAGTTGTGGAGGACGTCGCTTCACTGGCCCAAGTTGGTATGATCATTGTGCTCTTCCTGGGTGAGGCAGATCGTGGCCGGCGGCTCTTGGCAGCTCACGCTGGCTGCTGGCCGCTCACAGTAGCTTACGGCAGCCCACTGCAGCCTACGCCGTCGCCGGCGACTCATGGCAGCCCAGCTCCAGGTCGAGCTGTTGTTCATCATCTTAGCTGTAGAGGGCGCAGTGTCACCGTCCCTAATGTGGGATCCAAACCAGGGCCCTGCTGCTCAGAGTTGGCATCCCAAGCCAGCTCTTAACCAATGCGCCACTTGTCTGGCCCAGGGTTTGTGTGTTTTTTGTTTGACACTTTGCTTGACAAAATAAGAATGATTCTATTTGTCTTTTATCACTTGATTAATATACTGAATTTGGGCATTTTAAATTGAGCTTAATGTTCATTCCTAATTTTTCTAATTGTGATTAACAGTAAGACATGTATAATGATGGCTCTATTAAAAATAATTCATATGAAAAATGTGACCCATACTGTATTTATTCCAAAGAATCTTTTCAGCATTGCTTCAGGGGTTCTTACTTGGGGTCTAGAGGCTCTCCCAGAGGAGTCTGTAGATTAAATTCAGGAAAGCTGTATACTTTAGGTGGGGAAAAAATACATCCTTATTTTTACTAACCTCTAATTAAAAGTTATAATTTCCTTTCATTATAACTCTAGGCAGCAAATCACAACACTATTAATAGTACCAAAAGAAATCAGGTATTTTTGCTTTGTATTATAATTGCAAGTATCTTGAAATACTGTTTATGTTCATCACTACTTTAAAATTATAGTCGTTATTTGACTCACCACTAGTTTTGATTTAATGCATTAATATAGAAGCACATCTATTATGTTACAATTTTTAAAATAATTTGATAATTTTCAATAAAATTATTTCCTTTGTAATCCTTTATACTTTATTTTGAAAATTTAAAATACATTATTCCTATGGTATGAAAATTAGAAAATAAAGCTATTATTATTTTTTTAATTATTTAGAGAACAGGTCCATAAGTTTTCACCAGACTGAAAGGAGTCCATGGCTCACAAAAAGGTTAAGAATGCATAAGTTAAATAATCTTTTTGTTGTATTCTCAGTTCTCTGCTGTCTCTAAGTCCTTGTTAGCCTTGATTCCCTTTCTTTTAGGGTAATTTTGTATATTTCAAATATGCAAACATTTTCAAGAGAAATATAATGGCAGTGTCATCTAACCTAAGAAGTTGTGCTTTTGGGTTTACCCTTGATTAATTGTGAGAAAAAAAATACTAGAAAAGACAAAAGTCAAATTGCTTTGTTTTAATGTTACCTAATCATAAATCATTTTCCTTCATTCTTCAAGTATTTATTGATGGCATACTGTGTGTCAGACACCATAGCTATATGTTTCAAAGTATTCTGACTAGACACAGTTAACAATATGGCTAACGTAAAGGTTATAAGATTATTCATTGACATAGTTTATGTCTACAGATAAAATATTATCTGTATTCTGTCATTTATTTTCCAAATAATTTCAACACTGATTATTTTTTCATTTGTAGGGAGCATTTAGCGGGTGGAAGGTTATCCTACATGTTGATCAGTCCCGAGAAGCAGGATTCAAACGCCTTCTTCAGTCAGGAGGAGCAAAGGTTTGTATTGAATCAACTTAATGTTTTTCAAGAACTATTTTCTAACCAAGGTTGCTGTGATCAGTTCTTTATTTTCTGAACCGGATGGTAATCCTGAAGTACAGTTATACAGTTGAATTACTTTGGGACACTGATAGATTTTGGTGTTTCTTGTTTTTTCAATAGGTGCTACCTGGTCATTCTGTGCCTTTATTTAAAGAAGCCACACATCTCTTTTCTGACTTGAATAAACTGAAACCAGATGACTCAGGAGTTAATATAGCAGAAGCTGCTGCCCAGAATGTGTACTGCTTGAAAACAGAATACATTGCTGATTATCTTATGCAGGTTTGTGAGATTCTGTCCGTGACCTCCTCGTTTCCAGAGATCTACTTCTATGCATAGAGAAGTAACTGCACAGCAAAACCCTTGGCTTATTATTAATAGAATGTTAGTTTCCTGTTATTCTCTATTTAACCCCTTTAATTTTATTGTTTTTTTATAATAATGAACACATATGTAAACATTTAGCTTGGAAATTAAATATGAGCTAGGTATAAAAATCTAGGGACCTCTAAAAGTGTCATTTTAGGTGTTGGAATATAAAGAAAGCAGAAATTGATTCCAAGAGACCAAGGAGAAACATTTGCCCAAGGGTTCTTTAGTTTTCTTGACCTTTTGCATTGGTATACAGTAAATGCCTGTGTTAGACACTGAGGTCAGTCAAACATTTGCTAACTGGAGGGCTCACTACACTCATGTTCAGAATTGGCCCATGTTGTGTGATTTGATGGGCAAAGAAAAATTCCTGACACCATAGTGCCTACTATTCCATCGGCATTCAGCAAAGAATGACACATGATCATAAATGTCTTACTATAAAGGATTTCAAACAGAATGCCATAGAAATAAGGGGGAGCCAGAATTCAGCCTGCCTTGTGATTTTTTTTGCTGCTTGTGTTTAGGAGTTGCTTAGGGTTTAAGAGACAGAATGCCTAAAACATAAACATGAAGCCTTTGTTATACAGCAGTGGGGCGTAGTTAATCTCATCCCTCCAGAAATTCCTGATCATTTCAGTTATACAGCTGCCATGTAAGACAAGATCCAGTAATTATTAATTGCCTGTATTCTGCTGGGCTTAGTGTTTGTACATGTGTTCTCATTTCATTTTGTTTTCTTACATAAAAGAGTATATAAAACATATGTACTGGTTAAAGAATAGCAAAATGTCATCCAGGTACCCAGGTTAAGAAATACAATATTACTATTCCCATAGGCATTCCCTTTTGCTCCTCCCCAGTTGCATCTCCCTCTTCCTGCCCTCCGCCCCCTTTCCCCCAGAAGTAATCACTACCTGATTTTGGGTTGTGTCCCTGCCTTTCTCAGGGTTGTAATATGTGTCAGGTACTAGATGTCGGGAAGAATACATTGGGGGAGTGAGCTGTTCTGTATTTTTATGTCCAGGATCATCACTGCCTATTTCTAGTCCTTGGGAATGGTCAAAGCAGAACACTTTCATGAGGTGAAGCAGCTGGCTAAGGAGAGGAGAGCAGCATATCATGGTCAAGTTTGTGGTGAAGATATGCCTAGCACAGATAAGACTCTTGAGATAGACTCACCCCAGTGTGTTCTGACCTCAGGTTAAAAACTAGGCGCAGAGGCCACAAGGATCTTGGTGATGACGGCATTCAACATGGCCTTACATTTCTCCTATCTGCATGGTCACCTACTTTTGTGCACAGCTATCATCCCAAGATCTCCATTCACCATCCTCTATCTCTTTTCTGTTGGATGTCCTGTTTCTGAATCCCATGTCATCCTGATCTCTCATTTTGATAGAGGTCATCTTCTAGTAACTTTTTTTTTTTAAGATTTTTTTTTTTTAATTGGGGGATTAGGGGATGGGAACAGACAAGTTGCTGTCTTTTTGTTCTTCAGTCTAGTTGTGGAGGACATCGCTTCACTGGCCCAAGTTGGCACCATCATTGTGCTCTTCCCGGGTGAGGCAGATCAGTCGCCGGCTTCTGGACGGCCACTCACTGCGGCTGCTGGCCACTCACGCTGGCTGCTGGCTACACACGGTAGCCCATGGCAACCCACTGCAGCAGGGACTGCAGCCTATGCCATTGCTGGCGACTCACGGCAGCCCAGCTCCAGGTTGAGCTGTTGTTCAGCATCTTAGCTGTGGAGGGCAGTGTCACTGGCCCTCATATGTGGGATCCGAACTGGGGCCCTCTGGCGTCCCAAGCCAACTCTTAACCAACGTGCCACTTGGCCGGCCCTCTAGTAACTTCTTAAGAAAGCACAATGGAGGTAAATTGTTTTGAGACTTTCCGTGTCAGAGAATTCTGTTTTCTATGCTCATACTTGACTGATAGTTTGGCTGGGTATCAAATTCTAGGTTGGAAACTATTTTCTCTCAGACTTTTGATTGCTTGTCTCCTTGCTTCTAGTAATGCTGTTGAGTACTCCAAAGCCATTCTGATTCATAATCCTTTATATGTAACTGTAAACTAGTAGGAAGTTCCTTATCCCCAGTTTCTTGAAATTTCAAAATAATGTGATGGTCTGTTTACATTATGCCAGACACTTGGTGGGCCCTTTCTGGCCTGGTAACTATCTTTCAGTCATGGGGAATCTTGAATTATTTCAATGATGATTTTTTTTCCCCCTCCACTTGCTGTTCTCTCTGGTACACTTCTGTTTGAATGTTGGATTTTCTTATTTCTCACCTATGTTTATACTCTACGTTTTGAGAGATTCCATTTGATCTTCCACACCTATCAATTTCATTTTGCTGTCATGTTTTTAATAATCACCTTTTTTTAGTTTTCTGAATTTACATTGTATATCTTAATAGCATTCTTTTGTTTCATGGATGCAATACCATCTCTTAGGTCTCAGAGGATTTAGTGATTTTTTTTTTTTAGTTTTCTTGTTTCTACATAGTTTCTGCTTGCCCTATGTTGCCTCTTTGTTTGGATCTTTCTTCCATGTTAGAGGAATTTATCAGATATCTGGTAATTCTTAGCTTTCTGCTCATGATTAGAACTAGGTGAGAAAAAAAGCTGACTGGAAGTATTGAGCACATACATGGTTGGGTCTTGTCAGTTTGAGACTGGGTGAAGTCTGGATAGACCAGTTATTGGAGACCCTTCTAGATTGATACCTTTGTGTGCTTCTCAAATTGTTTTACTTTCATCTGAGAGGAATCTTCTGATCTGCCTGAAGGATAAGTTGAGAACTTCCAAGATTTATTGCCTTAGCAACTTTCAAATATACCACACATTATTATTAACTATACATCATGCTGTACTTTATATCCCCAGAACTTATTATATTTTGTAACTGGAAGTTTGTACCTCTTCACCACCCTTACCCATTGGCCCACCCCTCACTGCCCTCCTTTAGCAACCACCAATCTGTTCTCTGTATCTGTTGAGTTTTGAATTTGTTTTGGGCTTTTCTTTTTTTTAGATTCCACATGTACATGAGATCATACAATATTTGCCTTTCTTTGATTTCACTTATGATAATGCCCTCAAGATCCATCCATGTTGTAATAAATGGCAAGATTTCCTTCTTTTTTATGGCTGAATAATATTCCTGTGTGTGTCACATTTTCTTTATCCATTCATCCATGGATGGACACCCAGGTTGTTTCCATTATCTTGGCTGTTGCAAATAATGCTGCTGTGACTATTGGATGCAGAAGTCTTTTCAAGTTAGTGTTTTTGTGTTTTGGATAAATACCCAGAAGTGAAATTGCTGGATTATACGGTAGTTATGTTTTGAATTTTTTGAGGAACCTCCATACTGTTTTCCACAGTGGCTATATCAGTGTACATCCCCACCAGCAGTGTACAAGGGTTCTCTCTTCTCCACGTCCTTGCCAATACTTCTTGTGTTTTTGATGCTAGCTATTCTAACAGTTGTAAGGTGATAACTCATTGTGGTTTTGATTTGCATTTCCCTGATGATTAGTGATGTTGAGAACCTTTTCTTGTGCCTGATGGCCATCTGTATATTTTCTTTGGAAAAATGTTCAGAGCCTCTGCCCATTTTTTAATCAGTTTGTTTGGGGTTTTTTGCTATTGAGTTGTATGATTTCTGTATATATTTTGGCTATTGGACCCTTATCAGATACATGATTTGCAAATATTTTCTGCCATTCAGTACATTGCCTTTTCATTTTGTTGTTAACTTTGCTTTCTAGTTTGATGTAGTCTCACTTGTTTATTTTGCTTTTGTTGTCTTTGCTTTTGGTGTCAAACCCAAAAAATCATTGCCAAGACTGATGTCGAGATGCTTACACCTATGTTTTCTTCTAAGAGTCTTATGGTTTCAGGTCTTAATTTTTTTAAGTTAATTTTTATGTATGTCATAAGATAGTCATCCAATTTTTGTTATTTTGCATGTATCTGTCCAGTTTTTCCAGCATCATTTATTGAAGAGACTGTCCTTTCCCCCATTGTATATGTGTGGGTTTATTTCTGGGTCTCTCTTGTATTCCAGTGATCTGTTTGTCTGTTATGCCAGTACTATACTCTTTTGATTACTATAGCTTTGTAATAGAGTTTGAAGTCAAGACGAGTAATGCCTCCAGCTTTGTTGGGTGGTGGGGGTCTTGTTTCTCAATATTGTTTTAGTTATATGAGGTCATTAGTGTAAGTTTTATTATACTTATGGGGGGAGGGGTGGGGAAAGGGCAACTTTTACTTTATGTTGAAATCTGTGAGAAAAACATAAGGATTTTGGAGTCAAATAGAAGTGTGTGAATTTTGGCTTTGCCACCTGACTAGTTATGTAACACTGAGTGTGTTATTTAACATTTTTAATTTTATCTGTAAAATGGGGAATAAAAAATACTTTTCACATATTTATTGTAAAGGTCAAGTAAAAATTTAGCAAAACTTTTGAAAAAATTACATTAAGCATGTCACATACTAACTTCTTTCCCATATTCTCCATATTGTATTTACTCCATATTTTACAGATAAAAGCCATTCTTAAGGTCTGAGATAGCCCCACTTTGCCTGAACTATAAGCTCATTTTTCTAATAAAAGGTGAGATTGTCAAACAGGGATTGTTTCTCTAAATGTGACATGTGCTAAATATAAATAGCATACCTTGAAAGACAAATGTTTTCTTTGCAAGAACCTGGGAATAAATATACATTTTCCTTTTGAAATTTCTGTGGTCAAAAGCAAAGTAAAGGAATCTATTACCCGATCATTTAACAGTTTTAAATCTGAAAAAAATGAATAATGTTGGGGTTTTTTCCCCCTTTCATAGGAAACCCCTCCTCGAGTAGAAAATTACTGTCTACCAGAAGCTGTTTCATTTCTTCAGAATAATAAGGAACCTGGGCCTGGATTATCACAAAAGAGGAAAGCGTCTACAGAGAACAACAAAATCAAACGATCCAGAGTACACTGATCATATCTGCCCTTCAGTAACCAAACAGTAAACGTTGTTTAAATTGAAAGCCTGAATAATTACTGTGGTGGGTTTGTGTAGTAATTTAGAGACAAGTACCTGAAGAATTCAGCTTCAGAGTGTAATGATGACCCTATTTGAAGTAAGTTTTTAACACCTGAAGTTTTAACCACTGAAATATTAACTGTTCCTGAATGGATCTTTACCTGAACTCAGCTAGCTTGTCGTTAAACCACACTGAAGTGTGTAAGGGACATTTTATTTATTTTCTTGTAAATATCTGAGGCTGTAGCTTAGTGGAAGTTTTATTAGCAAGGTGATGGCTTTTGCCTTAAAATGTCTGCTTTAATTCATAACAAGGAAGTTGTCATTTGGGATTTATTCATGTTTTCCCTGATTTTTATCTTCTCACCATTTTATGTCTTTTTAACAGGAGCCTGGGCACAAGGTGTAATGAGGAACTGAGGCTTTAAACTTAAATGTGTGTGTGGGTGTATATATGTATATGTGTGTAGAAATCTCCATGATGTTTGCCAAGTTTGGGCGCCAAACTTGGAAAATAAAGACAATAAAGAATAAAAGTAGTGACTCAAATTAGTTCTTAAGATAAGTTTTTAAAAAGAAAAGTATTCTGGCATTCATTTGCTTGTTGAAGCAATAAAATATTTGTAAAACTTAGCTTAAAAAGCAAATTGCTAGTTGTTTCTGATGTTTTTATTTAGAATATTGTTCTGTTGGATTAAAAAAAACCTTTTATTAGAATCAGGACTGTAATTTTTATGTAACGGTTCAATTCCTAATGATTCTTTCTTTGAAAGGCAAACTCAGACAGTAAACAGTTAAAGTTCTTAACCTAGACACAAAAAACTGAAGTTTTGATCAGCTTTTCCTCTCAGTGGAGTAGAGGTTGTCCCTGCCCCTTAGGTGAATTGGCCCTTCGAAGCTGAAAGCTTTGACCTAAGTCACAGCTTAGGACAACGCAGATTCCTACACAGCCAAACAGGTAGCATTGTCACGTAAACTACTCCTGCCCCTTGGCCAAACAAAAACCTCATAGGCCTGGTTTTATCAGAGCCATTTTATGTCAGCTAGGTCATTTCATAGGCCATTTGCAGTAAGTTTACCCTGAATTTCACCAGTTGAAAATTCTCTGAAGTAGTTACCACTCTTCAAAACTTCTTGTGTTGATCCTTTTTCTCTCTATCCTAGATAAAATTTTCTAGTTTATCCTTTTCTTTTCTGTCAAAATTACGAACTATTTTCCCAGTTCAGGTCTTAGACACATAAATTACAAGTCTGAGGCTCCAGATCTCAGCTTCTGTTCCTGACTCCAGGGTCTGTGCACATCCTATGTAAACCATTTCAACTCCGGCTTTAACTTTGTCTGGAAATGTCCTAATGCCAGCAAGGTCTTCCCTACGTGCAAATCATTCCAAATGAGGTAGTTCTCTCATTTAAAAAGGAAAACAAAACTTTGAGTATTCTAATACCTAGTTTCTCAGGATTGTTACAGTATTTCAATCAGTGACACTTAAATTAGCACCTTACATTCCTCCACAAATTACCTTGTGCATTAGTCTGATCTCCCCAACATTAATTCAACATGTAAGGCGGTGGCTGGGACTCCAAAGCAAACCACCTAGACCACATACTCTCACAGAGCGAAAAAGGCAAGGGTCCTCAGTGCACACCCAGCACACAATTACACTCAGATTTGGTCCTTATAGTGTTGTGGACTGAATTTTGTTGTCCGTCCCCCCCCTCCAAATTCGTATGTTAAGTCTTAACCCCCAGTGTGACTCTGGAGATGGCCTTTAAGGAGGTAATTCAGGTTAAATGAGGTCATATGTGTGGAGCCCTAATTCGGTAGGACTGGGGGCTTCCTAAGAAGAGACCAGGAGTGTGTGTGAAGCACAGAGGAAAGGGCACAGGAGGTACTGTCTGCAAGTCAGGAAGAAGCGGCTCACCAGAAACCACCCCAGCCAGTACCCGGATCTTAAGATGGTTTCTGGCCCCCAGAACTGAGACATTTCTGTTGTTTAAGCCACCCAGCCTGGTATTTTATGGCAGTCCAAGCAGGCTAACAGTACTGTAGTGCAAAGATTCTTAACCTGTCACCGTGATGCCTGGGAATGGACAATTTTGTGTATGTGCATTTTTAGAATAAAACTCAGTGTTAAGAGTTAAGATCTGTGACTTCCTATCCCAAAAAGACAAACCACCGCTCTAATCCAACCCTATTATTTCACAGATAAAGCTTTCACCCAGAGGTGCTTTAATACATACTGCTTTATTTCAGGGGTTGGCAAACTGTACAAGTCCAGAGAGTAAACGTTAAGATTTGTGGGCCAGGGCTTTATGGCATTTTCCCCTTGACCCTGTAAAAATGGAAAAACCATTCATAGCTCGAGGCCATACAGAATAGGCAGTGGGCCACAGTGTGCAGATCCCTGCCTATAGCCTTCGAAACCCTTTTTAATCTAGATCTGTCAACAAGCCAGGCACCAGATCTGTTTTTCTACCACCCTGTGAGTAGCATCAGCCCATTGGCAGAACCATCTCATGCTTCTTCAGCATTTGGGAATCTGCAACTAAAATTATCAAGTGTTTTAAACTTGTGAGGCATTTATGAGAAGAAAAGCCATGGTATAGATACTTTAGACTTTTTCAAGCCATAAAAGAATGCTCAAGAAAATCTGTAAAGCAACAAAACCTGATAATGAAAGAACCAAGCAATTATCCTGTTTTGTCAGTGTGAATTGCATTTCAGGATAACCTGACAGTTGAGGAAAAACTCTTTATAGAATAATTCCAGGTAATAAGTGCAGAAGAAATGATAGAAGCAAACCATTTTACAACAAATGAAATAGATCTAAGCAAATGGGGGATTTTATAATGATGGATCAAGCTGATACCTAAATTCACTCATCACTCAAGAAGACAACCAGACACCTCCTGATGTGATGCAGTAGGAAATAGAGAACATCTATGAATGAAGTATCTTTGCCCCTAGCCCCATTAATTAAACGAATTTGATTAAACCTACAATCAAGCAAAATTTAGCCAGGAGTGTTGTGGACTCACGCACACACCCCAGGGCCCAGCACAGAGGCAGCCAACTGGAAAGTGCCCAGTCTTTCTGTGAAAGGCCTATTTGCGTATCTTAAAGCTTGTGGCCCAGCTTGTAATTTTGCACACATCTTAGGGCCTACCGAAACACTCTGCAAAGGTGGAGGCCAATGAGCACCATCTTTGTGCTCTCCCTCTGCCTCACTCCAGGTCACCGGCATCTTCCAGAAAGGAGCCTGTGCACTTGTCTGGCACCCTGAGTTTTGCAACTGCCACCCAGGGAAGACCTCTTGATCACCTGGCTGTGATGGCCAGTGGGGCTCCTGTTCATGTGTCCTACAGGACTAACAAGCAGAGAAAGTGTTTAACCAGCTACACCACAGGGCGGACAAGAGAGGCAAATAGAAATGCCCATTCTTTCTGTGAAAGAGATCTAATTGCTTATCTTCAGTGTTGTAGCCTGAGGGGCAGGCTTCTGATCAAACTCTTGAGGGCCAACCGTAATCCTTTCCAGAGACCCCAGAGAGTGGGCACTATCTTAGCACTTGCTGCTGCGGTCTAGGTTGCTGTATTTTCTGTATGCATCTGGTGCTGCAGTTTTTGCGGCTGCTGCACAGGGGACATCCCTTGATTTCCTGGTTCAGGTGGCCATCAGAGCTTACATTCATGGGTCCATACTGTAACAAATGGAGAGAGCTCTTAAACTAGTACCACCCCCAAGGCACATTCCCCTAGGGCCATTCCAAGGACAGACACTGAAATGGTGACACCCCCAGTCTTTCTACAAAAGAGGCCTATTAGCATATCTTCATAGCTACAGCCTGAAGGGCAGGCCTCTAATTAAGCCCGTTATCTAAGAGCAGACTCCAGCCCTAGACCTCAGAGGCCGGGCACTATCTTCACTCTCCCTCTGCCTTGCTCCAAGTATCTCCTGAAAAGGAGCTTTGTACAAGTGTGGTGTCCCAGTTTTGCAGCTGCCACCCAGAAAATACCCCTTGATTGCCTGGCTCTGGTGGCCAGTGGGATTATGTAACAGAGAAACAGTTCCTAACTGGCTACCACCCCCCAGAACACAATGCAGAGGCAGCCCGACTGAAAATGCAACCCCGGTCTTTCTGGGAAAGTGGCCTATTAGCTTATCTTTATAGCCTGGGGCAGGCTTCTAATTAAACACATGTCTAGGTGCCAATTACAATTCTCTCTAAAATGGTAGGAGGGGCATGGCAGGCACCATCTTTGCGCTCACCCTGGTCTGCCCAATTTGTGTCTCTAAGAAAGACACAATGTCTAGCACCCTAGCTTTTGTGGCTACCAGCCAGAGGACACATCCCTTAATAGCCTGGCTTTGGTGACCAGGGGGGCATGTGTTCACCGGTTCGACAGAATGGTAGCAAACAAAGTTTTTAACTGGCTACCACCCCAGGATTCAGTGCAGAGGAAGCACACAGAAATGCCCATTTCCCCTGAAAAAGGTATATTTGCATACTTTAAGCTGCTGCCTGAGAATCTAGTTTCCAATCAGCCCGAATCTAGATGCTGACAGATCCTCCCTTTTGGGGCACTGACGGGTACTGGCACCCCCTCAACTACTAGGAGCCACTAAGAATAAAGTAGGCTGCTTGGGCAAACATAAGGGTTTGACAGACAACCAGGAGCTAGGGCAGGTTGAACGATAAGGTTCATCTCCTACATGAGGCAACTCCAAGAGTGGGAGAGGTGGCTGTTTACCTAATGCGTAGAAACCAACACAGAGAGTTAAGCAAATGGAGAAACAGAGGAATGTGCTCCAAATGAAAGAAGAAGATAAAACCTCAGACAAAAGTGAATAAAAAGGCCGATAATTGATTTACCTGATGAAGAGTTCAAAATAATGACCATAAAGATGCTCACCAAGCTCTGGAGAACAATGAATGAACAAAGTGTGAATTTCAACGAGAAGACAAAAGATATGAAAGTACCAAACAGAAGTCACAGAGCTGAAGAATACAATAACTGAACTGAAAAAATACACTAGAAGGGTTCAACAGCAAACTAAATGAAGCAGAAGACAGGATCAGTGAACTTGAACACAGGGCAGTGGAACCTATCTAGTCAGAGCAGCAAAAAGAATAAAGAATAAAAAAGAATGAAGATAGGGCCGACCGAGTGGCTCAGTTGGTTAAGCGCTCGCTCAAGAGTTTGAGCTCTGAGCAGCAGGGTCACCGGTTTGATTCCCGGCCTGAGCTGAGCTGCTGCTGAGCCACCAACAGGTGGCAGGATGGCTCAGCTAAAAAAAAAAAAAGAAGCTAGCTTAAGGGACTTATGGGACATCATCAAGTGGACCAACATTCACATTATAGGGGTCCCAGAAGGAGAACAGAGAGAGGAAGCAGAAAACACACATGAAGAAATGATGGTGTAACCACTATGCTGTACACCTGAAATTGATATAAAATAATATTGAATGTCTAAATAAATAAAGTGTAAGAAAATAAGAAGGAAGAAAAAGGAAAGAAGGAAGAAAGAAAAGAAAGGGAGGAAGGAAGGAGGATTTCTCTAACTTGGGAAGCAAACAGACATCCTTAACAGATACATATGAAATATTCCATCCTAAAGCAACAAAATATCATTCTTCTCAAGCACGCATGGAACATTGTCCAGGGTA